ATGGACAACCTCATTTTCTATCATGAACCCATCTAGAATCTAACGCCCAGTAATGAATGTAGACTGGTTTACACTTATTATAAATGGTAGAACGCTTCATAGCCTCAAGGATAAGAGTTTTGCCACTGTTTTATATAACCCATGAATCAAACTAATCAATTAAAATTAGAAGAATTTGCTCAATCCCTTAGTCTTCAAAATCAAAGTTACAAAGGATGAGTTGATTTCCTTTGGTAATTTACCTGTTTTGAAAAATTCTTTGACTATCACAAAAATATCAGAGATGATTAGATTTCATGCTTTTTTATAGAAGGAGGAGGTGAAACTGTTAAGACCGGGAGCTTTTAAATCATCACAATCCTATACATCTTGTTTCATTTCCTCTAATAAAAGCAGTCTTTCTAACTAAATTGATCTTGCTTTTGAAATTTTAAAGAACCCCAAGCCTTTTATTTCAATTTTTCTACAATATGGTTTGGCAAACAGAGTTGAGAAGAAGCTGATATCACCCTTTTTATGTTATTTAAATAGACTAAAAATATATTGTTTTATTCAATGTTGCTGATGTGGTTGCGACCATTCCTTAAACTTGTTGAAAGGTGAAAAAAACAAGTGTTTTTATCCCCAATTTTGCACCAGTTTTGGCGGGATTTTTGCCTCCACATATCCTCAACTTTCTTGTTAACCTTGAAAAGCTCAGAGTTTAGATTATTGAGCTTTGTTTTTTCAATCTGAGACAGGAGACGCACCTCTCTTAAATCTTTGATGGTTGTGATGAAGTTCTGAATGTTTGCAAGTTTTGAATTTTGATTACCAAAAGTAGATTTGTTCTATTATCTCAGTCGTTTCCCTAGAGTTCCTAGTTTCTTTATCAATCTATAGTCATTTGGAAATTCCTTGTAGCTATCAAACTAGAAGATCTCAAAATCAGCTGAAAATAAATGGTGTGACAACCAACAACTTATGAAGCGGAAAGGCTTCCACCCCCAATCTACCTTTGATGTCTGAAGAAGCAATTGATAATGATAAGACATTCCTCTAGGGTAGTGACAAAGTGATAAGAATGGAAACTAAAGGTGGAACTTTAGAAATGCAAATGTCTTATCTATATAGTTTATAGAACCCCCCCTAAACAAAGTGAAATAGTGGCCTTTCAGTTTGAATTCAATCAAAGCATAATCAAACAGGAAATTATGGAAAACAACTGACCCTGAATAATTAATGTAGCCACTACTTGTCTCATGAGCATGAAGAGTTCCATTGAAATCACTTATCACCATCATTGTCTTATGATCATGTAGCCACATAGGCTAATCCATTGCCCCTCAAATTCTATAAAATTAACCTTAAAGTTAGAGATATCACATATCACTATGATCCCTCTTCATTTGCCTACAAACTCTAGACAAGCCCATTTAATAGTTACAATATTCCACAAATTTCTGATAAAGGAATCGCAGTAGTTATTTTTTCTTATTTCTAATAGAAAATAAATATCAACATTACTGTTGAGTAACTTATTCCTGTTGAAATATCATTTGTTCGACAAACCTAACCCACAACTATTCCAAGCAAAGATATTTATAGATAGAGCAAAACTAAAACAGATCAAAACTTAGTAGGGTGAGGAACTTACAACTGATTGGTTGATATCTACTCGTCTGCTTCTCTATCAATATTCCCCTGAACTCCCTCTTCATACCCTATAAGATTTTGGAAGATTCTCAAGCCTAGAGCTGCTGCATCATGTAACATTTCCTGAGTCTTATTTTCTCTATCAAAACCATTAACTTGATTATTCTCATAGGTTGTCTGGAACTGAACATTTTCTTGCTTAATCCCTAAATTGAGGGAATCAGAAGAGATACCTTTCTCAATAGTGTTAGTTACACTATTACTAGCTTGCAACAGTTTCAGTTTCCTTGTTTTACTTGTAGCATTCCTATTGTTTTCCTTTACCACTTTTGAGAAGGCCTGTTGGCTACACTGAGAGCTCTAAGGCTTTGGTAGACGAGCCTATGTATTATTAATCTCTATATCCATAGATGCATGGTTAGAGGTAATATCTTCATTTTTATCGGTAATTGATTTAATAATAAGGGATGAGCCGTTGTTTTTTAGAGATATATTTCTATAAGAGTCAGGTACAACATCTGATATGCCACTATAAGTCAAAGCATGTTTGTCTTTCTTCATTTTCTTCCTTTTTTTATATGTATATTTAAGGCCAAGTCTTTTTGTTTGTCTAAGCTTCTTTCTTTTTTTTTCCTTTAATTCTATTTCCACCACTTCTTAGGGCTTTGCCAGGTCACATATAAAATCAAAAAAGGAGTTCTAGAATTGGTTATGGTCTAAATTCAAGGTTCTGGTTATTTTGGATAAGGGCCTTAATACTTGTGCTAAAGAAGTGTTAAACCCTATTATATATGGGTTTATGGCCTTGTTGATTAGCCTTGTTCCTTTCACCTAGTCTGTAATGCTTTGTTTTACAAGGCCCACTCCTGTAATTGAATGTGTTGTTATCACTGTCGGCTACTTTTTGCATGTTTTCCTTTAATTTGTTATCGTGTGGCACTATAAAGGGCGGATAATATATAGTAGCATGTAGTTGCTAATCTTGAAAATTGTATCAATATGATCTAAGTTGTTTGTTGCTCCAGGGTGCCTTTGAGAAATGATAAGAGAGAAATCGCTCTTCGTATCCATCTTTTGTTACTCTGTAGCATATCTACCTTCGTATAGTACATAATATGAGATGATATCTTGATTCTAGATTTTCTTCTTGTTGTAATACATTGAACTTTTTCATAGCAAGAAAGGTTTATTAGACCTATCTTTATATAGTATCAAAATAATAATCCAATTTATTTAATTTTGATTTAACATCTCTAATTTACTTTAACTCAAAGTGATGACCTTTCCTTTCATTAATTAAACTATTTTAAGAATTAGAGGTGTTTTAAATTCAAAAGCTTTTTGAATCACCATACCAAATGTGATGTCTTTGGCATTTAAATACACAATTATATTATGGGAAAAATAAAAAAGAAAAGAGAGAGAATTAATTATTGAAGGCATAATACAATGTTTTAGTATATTAGCTCGTGCTTTGCCGCAAGTTAATGATAAAAAAATTCACATATAAAAAAATATAAAAAATCTAGAAAATATATTAAATGTTTTGGGTGAGGCGGTAAAACCAGACCCAGTAGCATTAGATCTGATAGCCAAAAAGTTTAGAAACAGTTGGGTCTGGTTGGGTAACCAGACCTAATACTATTGAGTCTTGGTGGCAATAGAACTCAATAATGTTATTGGGTTTTACTGAGCAATAAAACCCAATACCCTTAGGATTTGGATGCGGAGCCAAACCTACCAACCTTGAATTTGATACCAAGTTAAATTCAATATTTTTTTACTTAAAACACAAAAAATAACGCCTTTTTTTTGCTATAATATCGTCCACATTATAATTATTCTTTGTCTACTATACAATAAGTTTATGTTTACAATACATATACAATATTTTTCATATTTTTTTAAAGTATAGTATGATGCATGCATATGTAGTTTAAGATTCTATGGATAATAGTTACAAGTTCTTAAGAATTGGGTGAGATTCTACTTCAAGAAAAAGATTCACGGGATTCCTCTCCATTATAGCCCAGCATGACATGTTTAGAGCTAGTCTCATAATACTTAATGAAGTTTTTCCAGCTTGACAGAAACCTCATTATTACAGGAGGATAACTAAACATGTCAAGCTGGCCAATAAGACAAGGTACCGTTTTTGGAATCTTTCAGCATAATTTATAATTCAAGAAATATAAACCAGCTGCCATCCCCCCCTTCATTCCTTATGCTATCAAAGAATTTGACTCTCTTTTTTTTACATGGAGTTGTGGGAGGGAGCCATCAGCCATGCTTTCTTCCTTTTCAGTTTCTTCCATTCGATGGTAACATATTATTGCTTTATATGACAATAAATAACTTTATTAACTAAGCTATTAATTTAGTTGACAATCATACAAATACAATTTTTTTCTTGGCCGAGAATACATTAGCAAAATAACAAGAACCAATCAAAAGAGACCCTGGAAAATACAGGCTAAAAAACAACAGTAAAAAACTCCAGCTCCAATTGATGCCTTTTCCAGGAAATCAACAGTGAACGGTACCATGGAAGGAGAGTCACCTGCAAGTCCCCGAAAATAGCATCTATAACTTCATCAGAAATTGTCTTTGACATTCTAGCTAGCTGCAGGTCAAGGTGTTGGATATAGCAGTTGCGTGATAGATGGATTTAATAGCGTTCTTAGTCTTAGGTATATTTACATCACAACTTAAAATATAAATAAAAATAAAATAACATATCAATCTTTTTTTTCTATAAAATAATAAAATTTATGAATTATATAAAAGTTAAAAATATTCATTTTCTATTATATATATATATATTTTCATGTCATTTCTTTTTAGAATATTATTATATTTTAAAAACAATTATTTAAATATTAAAAAATATTCATTTCTATCAAAAAAAATCTCTTGAAAATATTAATCACAAGTAACCTTAACCTACCAAATATCAAATATAAGCTATTAATCATTTAAATTAGAAAAAATAAATAAAATTGTTAAGATGAATTAATTACCAACTATCTAATCCAAAAACTTTATTCTTGGACTTTTTGGTTTTTTTTGGATTCCATCAAAGGTAATTTTATTTTTACTATCTATGTACAATAATTAAATGTTATCTTGAAGCTTTAACGGAGAGGAAACATAAAAGTAAAAGTCAGTTAACTAGCAACCAGAAAGGTTTTCCTTTCCATTAATCTCTTAAAACAAGGTCATATGGCCTTTTACATCATATATATATATATAGACACACACACACACTTAGAATAAATAAAAATACAATGTATACTTTAAAATTTTGCTTTGCGCATATTTATAAATCGCATTGCGTCCATTTCCTTCTACAGTAGTCAGGCCTTGAATATTGTAGGGAAAAAGAGCTAGTCAAAAAGGAGTAGCAGTTGCTAGCTAGTCCTAGCCCTCTAAAAACCATGGCTTCTCTTCCACCCAACCCAGTACCAGTGGCATACCAAGGAGGCTCAGCATCAGTTCCTGACTGGTTAAACAAGGGTGATAACGCATGGCAAATGATATCAGCCACCCTTGTTGGCCTCCAAAGTGTGCCGGGACTTGTAATCCTCTATGGAAGTATTGTGAAGAAAAAATGGGCAGTCAATTCAGCTTTCATGGCCTTATATGCTTTCGCTGCTGTTGTACTCTGCTGGGTGGTTTGGGCCTACAAGATGTCTTTTGGAGATAAGCTCTTGCCCTTTTGGGGTAAAGCAGGACCTGCCTTAGGCCAGAAGTTTTTAATCAAGCAAGCTGCACTGCCTGAGACAACACAGTTTTATGATAATGGTGAAGTGGAGACTGCAATGGTTACACCATTTTTTCCCATGGCTTCCATGGTTTGGTTTCAGTGTGTGTTTGCTGCAATCACTCTTATTCTTTTGGCTGGATCAGTCCTTGGAAGAATGAGTTTTAAGGCTTGGATGGCTTTTGTGCCACTATGGCTAACTTTCTCTTACACTGTTGGAGCCTTTAGCTTGTGGGGTGGTGGATTCTTGTTTCACTGGGGTGTCATGGACTATTCCGGTGGCTATGTTATTCATCTTTCCTCAGGAATTGCTGGCTTGACTGCTGCCTACTGGGTTAGTTCTTTTATCTTCTTCTTTTTCCTATGCTCTTTCTCTTGGAGAGTATGTACATATGCCTTAATGTAAATTATAGGTACAAAATGCATGTTAGGTCTATCTTTTTTTTTTTCATGTATTTGAACTTTCACTGCTCAGTTAGAAATTTCTTGCTTCCTTGGAAAATATTGCGTAGATCTTTTCTTGGTACAAGAACATTTTCAGTGAATATTTAATCTCTAAGTTCTTCAGATCCTTGAGTTAATTGTTTTTGTGATTTAAGCAGAAATTTACCAACCTCTTTTTCTGTAATATTTAGAGGTTATATTTCTAAAAGTTTAGATGATGTTAGTTCATCGCTAAAAGATAAAAGCTTCTTCATTCCATGTTCAGTATTGAAACATGAGAAAAATGTCACTAATAGTAGCATAGCCCATCCATGAATATATTTTTTTTCTCTCTCAATCAGAATGAATATGAGAGCAAAATTTTAGTAGAATATTTTTCCACTCTGCTAAAAGAAATCTTGAGCATCGAATTCATCTATGTTAACTAAATCGTGTATATATAGTAGAAGTAGCTCAAGAAACAGGTAAGCTCTCTCTTAAATTACTAATTTAGTTAGTTTTAGAGGTTCATCACCTTTATGGCAAGAAATGAAATAATCATGAAGATTAGTATAAATAACAAATTATAATTCAGGATCAATATTTTTTTATAAATGGCCAAGAATAGTATAGTGTGTGTACATAAAAATTATAATAGACTATTTTTGTTTTGTTCTTGTAATTTCTTCCATGATATGAGGAGAATATATATATATATATTAATTGGTGGGATGGTGAGAGATTTTCCTTGTAAATGATGCAGGTAGGTCCAAGATCAACAAAGGATAGAGAGAGATTTCCACCAAACAATGTGCTGCTAATGTTAGCAGGGGCAGGGTTGCTATGGATGGGATGGGCTGGATTCAATGGTGGAGATCCATACACAGCCAATATCGACTCTTCCATGGCTGTCCTTAACACTAACATTTGTGCAGCTACTAGTCTTCTTGTATGGACCTGGCTAGATGTCATTTTCTTCAAGAAACCTTCTGTCATTGGTGCTGTTCAGGGCATGATTACTGGCCTTGTTTGCATTACCCCTGGTGCAGGTATATAGTTCCTACGTCTTCTTCTTTTCCAGTTGAAGAGATGCTTTTCAAGATCTTGTTCAAATGAAAGGCATTGACTTTTTTATTGGACTTGGAGCTAGAATTAATTATTCAATAATCTCTTTCTATTTGTGTGCCCTTACTTAACAAACTTGATAGTATAATTTAACTTGAAGAATTATTTCAGAAGTTCTAGATTTTTGTTCATAAGTCCCATTTTATTGGGATGGGAAGGAACAAAGAAAAGGGTAGAGCTATCTCAAGAAATAATTTAATTCAATATATAGACTCTAAAAATAAATAAATAAATTTGGGGGTAAGACAGGACATGGAGGATCAAACATTAAGGCTTGTTTTTAGGGTTATAGACTGAAGATATTGGGCCATATCTATTACATAGATGATGATGATATTAACCCATATTCGTTAAATAATTAGTTTTACAAGAGATACATATTATTTCACCTTGGTTTCATAGTCATATATAGTGATAAACCATAAGGAAATTAATAGATTATATTCTAACGTCGTTCGAAGTTTTTTTACGGATTTTTGTAGTCCTAAATCTGGTTTCACGGGTTAAAAAATCACTGATTTTATAGCATTGTCTTCAGGTTTTATAATTTGTATATTTTTCAGGTCTTGTGCAAGGATGGGCTGCCATAATCATGGGAATTCTATCCGGTAGTGTTCCATGGTTCACCATGATGATTGTTCACAAAAGATGGACACTAATTCAAAAGATTGATGACACTCTAGGTGTGTTTCACACCCACGCTGTTGCTGGCCTTCTAGGAGGAGTCTTAACAGGCCTTTTTGCAGAACCTCAGCTATGTGCACTATTTTTGCCGGTGACAAACTCAAGGGGAGGTGTCTACGGTGGATCCGGTGGAATCCAAATACTCAAACAACTCGCTGGCGCTGCTTTCATAATTGGATGGAACCTTGTTGTTACATCAATTATTTGTGTAGTGATAAACTTTGTGATACCATTGAGAATGTCTGAGGAACAATTGCTTATTGGGGATGATGCTGTGCATGGTGAGGAGGCTTATGCATTGTGGGGTGATGGAGAAAAGTACGATTCAACCAAGCATGGAGATACCACAGAGGAATTTACTATGGAGCCCATGGCATCAACTCAAGTCGTGTAGAGAAGGAGACGGCATTATATTAATTGCTTGATGATTAATTTACTTCAAGAAACGTTTGAGGTAAATTAGACCTTGTGATTGTATTTCTTGTCTGGCCTTGTATGAAGACTTTGTGTTGTAACTTGTTGACATTTTGCGTATTTGGTTTTGTTTTTTATTGTATATATAGTGTGCATTTTGATAATTTTTTAATGGGCATGGAAACCAATCTTATCGCGACTTGTTAATAGATTTTGATTCATATGACGAAGAAAGCATCTTGTATTTCATGCATATTATATACACCGTATTAGAGACTATACCTTAATATATACTCTTTCACATCACAAGTTAACAAAAATTAAGATGTGAGAGGGTTTTAATGTGCAAAAGCACTGTAGGTACTCTAACATTTCATTGTGGATTTATATAATTAATTTTTTTTAGATGATTTGATCCTTTTACAGTTAATTTGAAGGTTTTTTCAAAATTAACATGAAAAATTAACTTACATCATTTTGCTTTTAATGGATAGATTTTTAGTCTTTGTGGTTTTTTAAAATTCATGGTAGGTTTAAAAGTTCATTTTCGTTATTTTTTTAGTTTCTAATTTAAAAAAAAAAACATTGAATTCTAATAATAAAAAAAATGTTAATTGACACATATTCCAACTAAAAAATAGTTAATCTTAGTGTTAATAAGTTTTCTTATATGAAAAGAATTTCATTAGAGTATACTTTCATCTTAAAATCACTTAAAAAATTAGATTTAATATCTGGAATTTTGTTGATTTTAGATTTTTTTTTTATTTTTAATAGATTTACAATGTATTTAGAGGCATAATTGGATTCCCTTAGATCTTTGAGATATTTTTAGATATTTTCGATAAAAAAAATAACTTGAAATAGATTTTTAAATATAAAACAATCCTAAATAGTAAATATTTAGGTTATAAATAATAAATTATTTATTTAATTTACTAAAATAAATAAATCCCAAGCATGTGGGTCTAAGATGATATGCCCATGCACTTGAGGTTTTTTTATTTATTATTAAGGTCTAAACATGTTAAGTAGTAATATCACATGCCTAACACTTTGCATACCTAACATTTTTTTTTGTTATTTAATGTAATTTTTTTCCCTTGATCTTAAAAAAGTTTATTTCTTTGTTAATTTAAAAGTATATTTTTATTGAACCATTTTTAAAATATAATCTTTTATAATTTATATAAAATTAATTTTATTTTTTTGTTATTTCAATCTCACGAATCTAATGTGTTTTTTTAATGGTTTTTTGGTCCTTTAAATGTTTTATAAAAAAATCATCTTTTATTATTTAAATATTTTTCTTTTTTATTTCAATTTAATAAAATGACTCTTTTTGGCATTTAACTTTTAAAAAAATGTGTGCCTATCCTTTGAAAAACATGTTATTTGATACACAAAAAAAAGTCACACCTACACAATTGTCACATGATTCAAAAAACAATACATAATTTAAAAAATAATCTTATTGATAAAAACTTAGTAAGAGTGCATGACCCAAATAGCAGGTTCGACAGGTTAATCCTAACTTATTCAAGTATTTTTTTATCTTATTTTATCAAATATTTATTTTATTTATTTTATTATTTAATATTGGTTTAATTAAGAATTAAGTTTTATAATTTTTTTATTTTTTATAATATTATTATGGTCTCAAGATGTAGATTTCAAGTTTGTCTAATTAATCTGAGTTAATTCAAATTGATCCATTATGTTATTATTTTAATATTTAAAAAAAATACATTATCTAAAATGTTATAGTTTCAATATTTTTAAAAAGATTCGTTTAATATATTATTATTTTAATATTAAAAAAATATCATTATTCAATATTCAATATATATTTAGAGTTTAAAGCTACGATTAAATTTTAAAAAATCAACATTTAAATATTTTTTAACTCTTAATATTAAGAATTTGACTCCATGAAAAAAAAAGCAAAGAAACTGTAAAATTAGCTTATTTTTGAAATAAACGGAAGTGTATCTAGTAAAAACGATGTATTGCTTCCTAAGCAACAAAAGAAGCTCGAAGAACCTAAACTTAAATATTCCTGTTCCATTCAGTCAAAAATGGATTTTGCGAGCACTTGCTATATATATATATATATATAATTACCATCCCGGGTAAAATAGCCTCCATAGTTTCCACGAGTATCAACACAGTCCTTTTCTGGAATGGTCTTCGCTTTTTCTTATTCTTGTTATCGTTTCTACCCAAACCTGGAAGAGAAGTTATTGGAGGCCAAGACCCAGTCTATTCATTGTAATGGTTTATTTACTAATTTGCCCTTGAAAAAAAAAAGCAATGAATTAAGTTTAGGAGTGAGGTTGTCTTTTCACAATAGCACATTTATCTTTAACATATTTATTGGATGAGATTACATTTGTTTATCTTTCTATATTAATACTCAGTAAAATTATAACTTCACCCCTAGAATAAATAATGATATTGATTGGGGGTGCTTTTGCCATTTTATTTTTTTTCAGAATGCTGCAATTACTTTAGTGCCTTTGAAGACAAAAACAATACAATTCTCTTATAAGGGTTTTTTTTATAATTTTACATTAATTTTATTGTAGATTAGGAGGTTATTTAGGGGTAATATTATAATAGTTCTATATTTAATATTATTTAAAAAACAACATGTTAGCACGTGAATAAACACCAACATGTGAACAATCCATGTGGCGTTTAAACTATATATGTGAGGTTGTTTGATTACTAAATACCGTCTTCGGTTATAATATTTAAAAGATGTTGGAGCCCTTTACACAATAACAAGACATGTATATCATGATTGTTGTTGGTTTATCCCCGACGAGCATTTCTTTTCTTTTTTTTTCTTTCTCATCTCTTTAATTTTTGCACTAGTTCTTGCAAAATTTCATAACAAACTTTTCAATTTTTTTTTCTTCTATGCTTTTATTTATTATTTTTTTATTTTAGAAAAAGCTATAAAATTATAAATGACTTTCAAATTCAACCCCTACTTTTTTTAATCTATAAAAACATTTTAAAATTATATTTTTTTATGTCACTCCCTATCATTTTTAAATATATAAATAATCTATCAAATTACAAATATTTCTTATTTTCAACCCTATGATGTTTTTAATTTTTTAAATTTAGTCTTTATTCTTCTAATTGCTATTTATTTTTTTTGAATCATTTTCAAAATTGATTTTTTTTTAAATCTCATCCTTTTTAGATTTTTTTTCATATCAAATTTTTTTTCCTCATTCTTTTTGTTGCTATTTTTTTCTTTAGCTTTTGCATTTTTTTATTGATATTTTGTTACTAGTTTTATCATTCAAAATTAAATTGATTAAAAACTAAGTTTCTTAATTTAACCCGAGTTTAAGATTCTATGGGCTGTGAGTTTTAGAGACTATACCTTGTTGAGTAGGTTCATCCGATTTTGCTTTTTTTTTTTAAGGTGATGTTTTTTTTATTTTTTTAATTCTATTATTTTTTTCAATTTCCTACCTTTCTTTTTCATTTTCACTCCTTATCATTTTTAATCTATAAAATTATAAATATTTTTAAATTTCAACCTATATGATTTTTTATATATTTCAAATTTAATTCTTATTATTTTAATTACTATTTATTTTATTTGGATTCATTTTTTAAATTTTTTTTCTTTCAACTTTCATCCTCCTTAGGTTTTGCTTATCAAATTTTATCCTCACTTTTTTCTTCTCTTTTATTTTTTTGCTTTTGTAAGTTTCTTTTTCATAATAAGTTTTCACTGATTTTATTCTTTAAAAATAAATTAATTGATTGTTGATCTTTTTATTTGAATTCAAGTCTAAGTTTTTACGAGTTGTGATTTTTAAAGTATAGATCAAGTTTAAGAGGTTTGTCTAGATTTGTTTGTGTTGCCTTTTATGAAAAAAAAGTTATCATTTTTTTTATGGTTTTTCTTTTGTTAAGCTGGCTCTTACAATTTTATTTTATTTTAATTTCATCCCATATAAATTATCTATCAAAGTATAGATGTTTTTCAATTTCACTCCTATAATTTTTTAATCATTCAAATTTGATCTTAATTCTGTTAATTGTTATTTATTGTATCTTGAATGATTTTAATTTTTGTCAAATTTTATCCTTGTTGTAATTTTTTCTATTAAACTTTATCCTCATTCTTTTTGTTTTTATTTTTCATTTTTCTATTGGAGGTTTTTTAATTCATATTTATTTTCACAAATTCATCTTTCAAATTTAAATTTATCAAGAGTTAAGCTTTTTGATTGAATTCATATCTAATGCTTCACGAGCTACAAGTTTTAAAGATTAAATTAGGTTTAGGTGATTCACTTAACTTTGTTTGTGTTTTTTTTTTAAATTGGGGTTTTATCATATTTTATCCTCTCTTTTTTTCTGTATATGTTTAAGATTTTATTTTATTGGGTTGTCCCTATAAAACTTTTTTTTTTATTTTACCTCTTATCAATTTTTTTTATCTATAAATAATCTATCAAATTATAAATATTTTTCAATTGCATCCCCTATTATTTTCTAACCTTCTTTTGCATTTTTTTATTGATATTTTGTTACTAGTTTTATCATTCAAAATTAAATTGATTAAAAACTAAGTTTCTTAATTTAACCCGAGTTTAAGATTCTATGGGCTGTGAGTTTTAGAGACTATACCTTGTTGAGTAGGTTCATCCGATTTTGCTTTTTTTTTTTAAGGTGATGTTTTTTTTATTTTTTTAATTCTATTATTTTTTTCAATTTCCTACCTTTCTTTTTCATTTTCACTCCTTATCATTTTTAATCTATAAAATTATAAATATTTTTTAATTTCAACCTATATGATTTTTTATATATTTCAAATTTAATTCTTATTATTTTAATTACTATTTATTTTATTTGGATTCATTTTTTAAATTTTTTTTCTTTCAACTTTCATCCTCCTTAGGTTTTGCTTATCAAATTTTATCCTCACTTTTTTCTTCTCTTTTATTTTTTTGCTTTTGTAAGTTTCTTTTTCATAATAAGTTTTCACTGATTTTATTCTTTAAAAATAAATTAATTGATTGTTGATCTTTTTATTTGAATTCAAGTCTAAGTTTTTACGAGTTGTGATTTTTAAAGT